AACCATAGCATACTCTAGCATTTTTTAGAAAGTATTTTATGCCCAGTTTTCTATTAATAAACATAGTTTTTCTTGTCAGGAAGAAATTATTTTGCTGTTTGAATTTTGTATGTGGTTTAAAAAGCAAATTTAAACACAGTTTCATTGTCTTTTTGGATACTGAAGTGTAAATGATGACGCTAAACTGCAGATGTATTGAACAGACCTATGGAATGCATTCATTCTGTCTAGTTGTAATTAAGTCTCTTTACTAGCATCCTTTGATACTGTCCCCAACTTCAGATAACCAACATTTGGCTGTCTACTTTTGTGAATTTGGTGCTTTTTAGTTTCTACATACAAAGGTAAAGTTTTAGCTATCACATAAATCTTTGTGAAGAAGGTGCTGTTACTCTATTATTTTTTTATTAATTAGTAAAAGAAAGTTGAAAATACGAGTGTTTAATACATTTTTTTAAATTTAACATTTATAATTTAATTTATTAGTTCATCTTTGTGTACAAGTGTGTCACAGGTATGTGAGATGTATGTACAAATGTGTGTGGAAGCACATATGTTGAGGGGCTGGGGAGACCTTCAGCTGTTGTCTATCCTGCTCTATCTTATTCCTTTGAGGCAGAGTCTCTGGCTGCACCTAGGGTTAGACTGGCTGGCATCTAGCTGCCTCTCCTGTATTTGGAGGATTCTGTCTCAAATTCCCTCAGTGCTGGCGTTACAGATGAGCACAGGACTATGCTTCGATTTTACATGGATGCTGAGATCCAGACCCATCGTCCTCTGTTTGCACAACCCTCTCTCTTAAATGCTTAGGCATCTCTCCAGACCTACATAGATTAATTTGTATGACTTTTGGTATCGTTAAAAGTCCTGAACACTTACAAAAGAAATCATGGAAAACTTTTGATGTTTTTGTCATCCAATAGCTTTTCATTTTTTTATTTTTATTTTTATTTTTCTTATAGTGTTCTGTTTGTATGTATGTCTGCACACCAGAAGAGGGCACCAGATCTCATTATAGATGGTCGTGAGCCACCATGTAGTTGGTGGAAATTGAACTCGGCACCTCTAGAAGAGCAGTCAGTGCTCTTAAACTCTGAGCCATCTCGCCAGTCCCCCAATAGCTTTTTATAAGAACAGAAAAAGTTCAACCAAATTGTGTCAAACTGCACTCTTTTGATCACTTCAAGCAGAACCCCTGTGTTTGTGAAGAGGCTGTGATTATTGACAACCTAATATCCTCACATTACATTTTCATGATTCTTATAACATGCCTAGGTTCTGATTGTACCAACAGTAGGGCAGATGACCCCTGTAGAGAATTTCAAAATTCCTATGACCCAGGTTACTCAGCGTAACATTTTTTAATTACAGGGAAATAAAATGACCAGTTCCTTGAAACTTCTCACTTGTAAAAATCCATTAAGACAATCCTGTGTATGTTTGCATATAAATAATTAAAATAATTTATTCAGGGGCTCTAGATTTGTTATAGGTCAGGTGGTAGAATGTTTCCATTCCGGAAATGGTATAAACGCATTGTGGTAGGATACACTGTAAGCACAAAACTAAGAAGGTAAAGGCAGGAAGACTAGGAATTCAAGGTCATCCTCAGCTACATAGTAAATTTGAGGCCAGCCTGGAGTATACAAGACCCTGTCTTGAAGATCCAAATAACAAATGACTAAATAAAATTATTGTTTCTAAATTATATTGTGAGAATCATTCAGACTTTAAAATTTCTGATTTGATTCTGAAGTCTTCTGTCTACTCAAAGAGTTTTCTATTTTTTCCTTTACCATTTCCTCAATATTTTTTTACATTGTTGGATATCTGAGTATCAGTTGTACCCATAGTTCTATTTTTATTTTAATTGGAATTATATCATTTTAAGTTCTTGATTCTTACAGGCCGCAAGAATATATCATAGAGATTCAGCTGTTTATTAACGCTGAACTTTGATCAGCCAAGGGTCTGTCAAAAGGCCAAGTCATTTATTATGAATATTTGGTGTTACCCAGCCTTTAATATTCCAGCTGTCTTCTGCTAAGAAATCCTTGCATGCCCCGACCAATTGGTAAACAGTTTAACTCCCCAGACCTGCTGAACCTACTAAGTTACTAACTGCCCTGCTAAGTTTAGGAGACAAGCTGGTGGGAGATGCCTAGCTTTGTTTCCTGAGCTAATGAAGCTCAGACCATCCCCTTGCCCTTGAGGAGGCCTAGTGGTTCTCCAGAGCATTTTGACTGAGAACAAAAGCGATTTTTACATATCAAGGTGAAAGGTAAAACAACATTCCTGAGGAGGCAGGGAGCCACATGCCCAAGGAAAGAAAGGGCAGGCATTTTCTGTAGACAGTGACAGAACAGCCTGGTGTAAGAGAAGAGAAGAGGACAACAGAGATTCCGTAGAGGGTAAGCAGATCTCGGGTAGAGTTTCCTGAGTGCTAGGAGTAGAGAGCAGCAGAGATGGAGAAAGAGGATACAGAGGACGAAGATGAGGCTGGAAGCATAGGAGTTTAGTCGTTAACAGGACTATGAACAAGGGAACTGGACGGAACTGTAGCTATGTAGACAGGATTTCATCCCAGAGAAATAAAGTAGATGGATATAGAGCTTGGTGTGTCTAGAGTTGTTCCTGCCTTGAATGCCTGGTGGAGCTATAGCTGAATTGACAGCATTTTGTCTCAGAGAAATAAAGTTAACAGACATAAGAACATAATGTACGTAGATTTTTTCCCTCACATATCCCACGCTAGACATAGCTAGCCCCTGGACCCCTGGGTACTCCATACTTGATTTAATTTGTTGGGGTTTTAACAGTTTCAAGTAAAATTAAATTTTGTCTTTTTGAACCTTTTCACTGTATCATTACCTTATTTCCAAAATAAATCTTTTATAGTCTACTTATTTTAAATTTCATTAAATAATATTCTCATGCTCGTTTCATTAATTGTTTCAGTTATATTATATGTTTTTTTTTAATTCTTGATTTCCTAGCTACAAACTTTTAAGATACTGTTTTTACTTTATTTGTGGTTTTCTTTTTTCTTTTTCTTTGTTTTCTTTTTTTGAGACAGGGTTTCACTGTATAGTTCTGGCTATCCTGGAACTTGCAATGCAGACCAGGCTGGCCTTAAACTTACAGAAATCCACCTGTCTCTGCCTGCTGAGTGCTGGCATTAATGGCATGCACCACTACTCCTGGCCTTCATAGGTTAATATAAGCACATCATGTAAGTTTCCTTCTTTATCTTAATTTAGGTGAATTTTTTCAAAGTATTGATTTATTTAATTACAACTTTTTTGTTTTTGTTTTTGTTTTTCGAGATAGGGTTTCTCTGTGTAGCTTTTGGAACCTATCCTGGAACACTCTTTGTAGACCAGGCTGGCCTCAAACTCACTGAGATCCATCTGCCTCTGCCTCTGGAGTGCTGGGATTAAAGGCGTATGCCACAACTGCCCAGCTTAATTAGAATTTTTAGTTACTTCTTTGGATGGTGGATAGGGAATTTGAAAGTGTTTGTCATTAATTTTCAGTTTACTACATAGTTGCACAATGTTTATAAAGCATATTGAATATAAGATAGTTATTGAAATTTACTTTATTAAAGACAGAATTGATTTCCCCAAATGTGTTACATTATGTATTTATGCTTAAGTTGGATAGAAGTATCTCAGACATAGACACACTCCTAATGTGTATTGGATAAGGCACGTAACTGTTTCCTTAAAGTCTTCCATACATTACAACTTCATAATCTACAAACATTATATCTTATAAAACAATTTGATTAATTTGTCATACTTTTATATTTTATTGAGATGTCTACTTTTTGTTTTGGTATATCATTTAATATTGATTTGACTTATTATTAGACCCTAATTTCTAGATACACAACAGTAATATTTTCATGCTCTGTTGACTTGTGCTTTTTGTACCACGTAATGTACTTTTTGGATTGCTATGTATGTAATACTATGAACCTCAATTTGATCCTTCTGTCCTTCATATTATTCATTTATATCTTTCTCCAAATTTCATATATATATATATATATATATATATATATATATATAGAGAGAGAGAGAGAGAGAGAGAGAGAGAGAGAGAGATACAGAGACAGAGAGAGACAGAGAAAGAGACAGAGAAAGAGAGACAAGGCTTTATTTCCTGGAAAGCAAAGTCATTCCTAGAATAACAATTTATTTAAGAACAAAACATGTAATGCTCTACTGCTGGCTAGCTGGCATTGATGGACGAGGAGTCAATTAGTGACCTAATAGGAAAAGTGATGATAAGAGATGTCATAAGTAGACAAAGCTGTTTTCCAAGTCACAATAAGATGTTTGATTTCTCAGTTCTTTTTTCCTGAGACAAAAACTTAGTAGGTCTACCCCAGGAAATGGAAAACTGCTGATTGGATCTTTCAATATTCTTGTTGTGATCTTGGCAGGAGCCAATAAACTCTGTCTTTGAATTAACCTATCCACCAAAACAGTCAAACCAACTAATCTAGAGGGAGGAACTGGAGCTTTCTCATGCCCCAAACATAAGAGCCTAGACTCTCCAGGAAGGAAAATGGACTCTGGTTTTCAGATCACATCCTGTTGGAGTTCTCTTTCTTTCTTTGTAACAAACCTTGGCTGTATGGTATGACTGTGAATCTCCTCTGCTTTTGAATTCTTCAGTGTTGGAGAAATTAACTGTATCAACATTTGTCCAGTGACAGTATTAGATGAACCATTTTTTTAAATATGTGTATCCACGTGATAGCTACTTGAATAATTTACAGTGAGTACTCTCTAGTAATCACCAATACAAGATACAGAATCATTCATACTCAGGCCTTCTTCCATCCATCCACCCATTCATTCACCCATTTATCCATCTACCCATCCATCCTCCTACCCACCCATCCACCCACCTATCCACTCACCTACCCATTCACTCATCCACCCTTCTATCCACATCCTCAGACTGCTATGAATTATATTTTACAGGAGTTTCGATTAAGGGCTTGGTGAATACATACAGCCTTGTGGATATACTTCTATAGCTACTTGAACCACAAGACTCCAGAGCCGACAGTAAGTGAAATCATTGTATGTACCTTACTGTCCTTCTTCTTATGAAATACATCTGCTTCACGACTGTTTCTCAAGGCCACATCCAATTGCAGGTATGAAGCAGCTGCTTCCTGGTTTTGGCTTGCGTTAAAACAGTGCAGCTATACATACACAAAACTTTTATCTTTTAGTTCATTCTTCCTAGCTAAAACCTTCAATATGGCCATGAGTGGAAGCTAATGGAAAGGTACTATGTGTATAATTTGAATATACTCTAATTATGACATTTGTATGGCTACATAAATATCAAAGGGGGCTTGTCTGAGAAGAAAATGGATATCCTGCAATAAAACAATAACTGTTTATCATTAATATTTTAACATGCACATTTAATATGTTTAAATTAAATTAACATATTAACTGCCTAGATATAGCTTTTCTAAATTTAATTTTTGTAAGTGCCATGCATATGTGTGTATATGAAATTGTCAGAGAATGTTTAAAATATTTGAAAAAATAATATGGTTTTCTCTTTCTACATTCTATTTCCCTTTCTTCTGGCTCCCACTGTTGTTCTTGAGTAGTTCGTTGTCATTTGCTTCTCTCTCCATTTAACGAAGGGTCTTTGTCTCTCTGGAACTATGTATCTGAGACCTTCATAGTCACTGACCATGACTTAGTGTTTAAATAACTAACTGTGAGTCTGTGAGTTTGTTTATCCTTCATTCTGCTTCTTTTTTTTTTTTTTTTAGACTTTCAGGATCTAAGAAATGGTGACCACCAAAAGCCTTATTGTGCTCATAAAACAGAACACTGGCACCTGGGTGATTCAAAAGGGAAGATTTATTGCTCACAGTGTGAGATTCTGGACAGACCACTGTCTAAGAACCCACATACAATGAGAGCATTCTTACTATAGCTGATACCAGAAGGCTAAATGGGAAGAAAATTCATGGAGGATCAAGAGAAAGGGAAACTGACTTTTCTATAAAATAATTCAACAGCTCCCACAACAAAAGTTAGGATTATAGAAGGCTTTGTTCTCAAGGTTAATCATCTCTCCAATCTCCCTCATTTTAACAATCCTTCACTGGTGATTAATATCCAACACCTGCTTGCCAAGCGCATGTTCTACTGTGGATATCTATATGCTGTGAATATGTTGCTCTGATTGGTTATTTAATAAAGTGCTGATTGGCCAGTAGCCAGGCAGGAAGTATAGGTGGGACAAAGAGAGAGGAGAATTCTGAGAAGTGGAAGGCTGAATCAGGAGATGCTGCCAGCCACTGCCACCATGAGAAGTAAGATGTAAAGTACCGGTAAGCCACAAGCCATGTGGCAATTTATAAATTAATAGAAATGGGTTAATTTAAGATATAAGAACTAGATAACAAGAAGCCTGCCACGGCTTATACAGTTTATAAGTAATATAAGTCTCTGTGTGTTTAATTGGGTCTGAGTGGCTGCAGGCCCCGATGGGACTGGAAAAATCTCTAGCTACAATGTTCATTGTGGTAGCTTTCACTAATTTACCCTATTCATTCATGGGCATTTATTTACAGAATTCTTCATACAGACTTTGAGTTTTTTTTCCACCTCTCAATGTCTCCCACAATCTCCTTTGTGGGTTTTCCACATCATTGTGCCATTTCTTTGTGAGTTAACACTATCATTATTTTGAAAAATTTTGCTTGTATGTAGTCTTTGCAACATTCCCATTTGGCTCAATTTTAGGGTCACTTCCTTCTTAAAACAGACTAGTAGTTCTTCATTTTTACTTTTCCTTATATATTTAGGCACAGAAACATAATTAATTTGCTTTGTTTTAAAGTAAATTTGTGTTTGCATTAGTAACAGTTAGATAATGTTGAATTAGTTATCTAACTAATTGCTCCAGCTAACTCAACTAATAGATTTTTTTCCCATATGCATTTGTAATTTCATTTGTGAGTTCATTATTTTTACAATGATAACAAAGATGATACTTTTAATTTTTTTTCTTTAATTTCTGTTTAAAAAGTTAATTACCAAATCCACCCTCATCCTCTATTCTCTCCTTTTCACTTCCTCCCCTATGCCCTACCTCAGCATTCCCTTCCAAATTTGCATGCTCTTTATTTTATTTTTTAAAACCCACTGAGTCCACTTAGTGCTGCCAGTGAGTACATGGGTATCGAACTCTCTGCTGGTGCACAGAGGGCCTCATTGACTTATCTGTATATCACACCCTTTCCTCCTAAGGCTGAGGGATCAAGTTGGATCACTGAAGTTGTTTTATTAGTTGTTCTTTCTTGAGGAATTGTCCTTTATGGTTTAGGTTCTCCACGGTTTTACAAGCTTAGTTCTTCTTCAATTAAATTCCTTTCTACAGTACTATAAATACAGGCTTCAATTTTTTCCTAAGTTATTCTTTATAACCTAAACATCCATGAAGGCAGCCTTGGGATATTCTCTTATAATCTACTTTTCTGTGGTGGAACTACTGGTTTTTATACTTATCCCCAGGTATTAACTCACTTTCAGATTACCAATGTGTTTTATAATCTACAGTCCATTGAGCTACAATTTACAAACCCCAAATCTTTACATAAAACAGCTTCAGTACTTAGGTCCTGTGATCCTGGGTGGTATCTCAAAACTTTATTAATTAATAACATTTATTCACCCAAAATCCATTATCTTCTTTGACCACTTGCACTGACTGGTGTGCGTGTGCATGTGCGTGTGCGTGTGCGTGTGCGTGTGCGTGTGCGTGTGTGTGTGTATTTGACACAGCTAGAGTCATCAGAGAGGAAGGAGCCTCAGTTGAGACAGTTTTTCCATAAGATCCAACTGTAAGGCATTTTCTTAATTAGTGATCAATGTGGAAGGGCCCCGCCCATTGTAGGTGGCACCATCCCTGGGCTGGTAGTCCTGGGTTCTATAGGAAAACAGACTGAGCAAACCAGGGAAAGCATGCAGCACACTTCTATATCCTCTGCATCGGCTCCTACTTCCAGGATCCTGCCCTCTCTGAGTTCCTGTCCTCACTTCCTTCAACAATGTAGAAGTTTAAGCCTAATACATCCTTTCCTGCCCAACTTGCCCTTTAGTCATGGTATTTCATTACAGCAATAAAAACCCTAAGACACCACCACTAATCTTTTCAGACCCATGTATCTAAATACATATCAAATCATTTTACCCAGAAGTTTCTGTTTTATATAGAAATGCTTTTCACATCAGCTATCATAAGAATAAAGAACTGTAATACTTCTGGAATGCCTGATTTTAATGATATTTCTAATCTCTGTGGCTTATATTTTCATTTCTTAGCAACTAGTCATTAATATATAATTAATTGCTTATGGTATAAAATAAATTCTTTCTAGTCCTTATAAATAGCAAAACAAAGACTAATTCCTTACTGTCAATCTAAATTATTAATGTGTGGATTCATTCACTATAAATGTTTGCTGCCCTCAACTTCACCCATTCTTACCATAACCACAATTATGAGCTTTTGTTACTCTGGAAGGATGCTTTACAATGTTGGTTCCATTAGACAAACTGTATTTCAAATGGAGCAATAAAACTTTAATTTGATATCCTAACTATAAATATGAAATTTATTTGAATGAACTCATTAAATATAGTTAGTAGCTAATAGTCTTAATTTTGGTAATGTATAAACTCAATTATTTTCTTAAAATAGCAGGCTATAATATATGTTATTTCAAATGATATTGTTTACTTTATGGAAAATATGACTTAAATAGCCAACTTATGTGTTTATAAAATGTTTTAAAAATTTTATTTATTTTTATCTTTTCATATATGAGTAAAATGCATTTTGATTATACCCAGCCCTTTCAATACCCTTCAGACCCTCCTGTCTCATAGTCTCAACATTCCCCTTCTGACTTATGTCTCTTTTATAATCATATATATACACATGTATGTATATACTTACACATATATTTACATATATATACACATATATAAATGTATATACACATATACACACAACCTACTATGTCTCTTTAGTGATGCCTGTATGCACATGAGTGTAGAGCTGAGCTGCGAGGCACTGGAAACCCCCAAGAGGCTCCTGCCTAAAGAAAACCAACTTTTCTGCTCTCAACTGAGTCCCACTGCCTATAGCTCCACAACTGGAGTGGTGCCTTATGAGCTCCTTCCCCATCTGGTCAGGGATGTTGTTTTGTGTGATCTTGTACAGGTAGATACAGCTGTTGAGAGTCCAGTAGTACAGTACCCCTGTAATGTCCAGAAGACACAATCTCACAGCAGTCTTCCTGCTCCTGAGCTTCTTATATTTCCCACAAAAACATGTTTTGTTTTCTACCTCTGTCCCGACTTATACCCATAAAAGTGTTTTGCAGATTATTTAAACTAATTTTTACCTACTCCATTGAAATTACAATTATTTATTTATGCTAATACAAAATAAAGGAATCAATTTCTTTTATACCCACATTTAAGTAATATCTTATAATTCACAAAGTATTTCCATGTCTCTCATTTAACTTTGGAGGTAGAATGTTAGAAATATCTACATTTTGGAGAAATGATACTCGAAAAGAGAAATGGCTTACTTTAGAAAATATACAGACTCATGAAGTTCCAAAGACTACTGGAGACATGTCTACCCAGGAAACTTGTTGACCTTCCCCATAACATGCATAAGAGAAATAATAAGACCTAAGTAAGGAGATGAGAGTTCCTTGGCATGCTGTATGATCTTGCATAATAGCTCTAGGCATTTGGATCTTTACTTTCACCATCTGAAAATTAAAAATAATGTGTCCTTTTAAAATGTTTGTCAAGGAGATTAGATAAAATAGTATGTATGACACAGTGAGGAATAAACATTGAATTAATTTTATTCCTTCATTTCTCAGGAGTCATAACTTTGAGTGTTCCAGGGACCTGCAATTTGTAGAATTCCACATTTTACCTTTCAATTAAGTAATTCATTATACTTTTGCCACCTTCTGATTTTTCAATCTGCAAAATTGTGT